AAGCGGAATATGAGTTGCTGTTCCTGCAACCTTCGGGTGGCATCGTTCTGGCACTGCAGGATGCCCAGGATGGACATGTCGTCTGAGGAATGGGAGGGGGAGTTGAAATGGTTCGCGACTGGGAGATGCAGTTGTTTATTGCGAACCGAGCGTACGTGTTCTGCAAAGCGGTCCTGCTATGATGCTGGTTCGCCTGCTGTGTTCATCCAGCCCTGCACCTTGTTGTCTCGGATTCTCCAGCATCTGCAGTTCCTACTATCTCAGTTTCTTCAACAATCTCTGTTTTTGTTTCAGTTCTCCAACATCTCAGTTCTTTGTCTTCATTTAGAATCTCACTGAACTGGACATTGGAGGAGAAATATTTCAGGTCCACGGCACGGTATGAAAGTAGAGACCTGCAAAGACCTGTTACAAATTGTATATGAACACCTTATTCTGATCAGACTGATGCGGAATATGCAGCGTTGCCATGAAGGTGCAGTGGCAGTACAGGATGAAATATGACCCAGTAGTGCCAGTAGAAATGCAGATGTAGTTTTAATTCTCATTTAAGAAACTTTGAAATTATAGTAAATGGTTATTCCACGCCATTCTTTAACTCCTTTCCGAACTTTCTATGTTTGAATATGTAAATACACGTTTTGATGCATGAACGTAGAAGCTGGAACATGAATCCAGTTTGTTGAGCAGCAGACATGGAATCATTAAGATTTTTGTCTGTATAATTAAAGTTTCTAACCGACCAGTTTAAGGAATGCACAGCATATGTTACCCATAATTGCATAAATTTGGAGAACAGAACGAAGAGTGAAATTACTGATTTCCTTCGATTCTTCATTTCAGGGTCAAGATGATTTTAATTTTACCCGTGACCACGGAGGCCATTCCAGATTCGATTGGCTGCCATAATGCTTCTGACAATCAGAGCGTTGAACACCAAAATCCAAACAATCGGAAGCAGAGGCGCTAGGAGACTGGTCAATCACTCAAACTCTGGTCAAAAGGCTGAAGCGAAATAGTCTGGAGTCTGATTTCAAAACCATGGCGCATTGCCAATCATTATTGAAGGAACAAAACAAAGCACCAGGTAATGGACGTCAAATGTCTCACAACGCTGACAGTTACAATCATTACGGTTGCTGATTCCTTGATGCAGTCTTTTGGTTTAAGCTTCTAGAAACAGATGTTTACAAACCGATCAAAGATGAAAACAGCTGTGAACCAAACAGACTAATCAAGGGCTGTAAAAGACAAGGCGACTCTTTGCGAACAAACAGGAATAATGAACAGGAAAATTATTAATAAATAAGTGTTCTTAATTAGATTCAGTATAACATTAAAAATGGCGATCAATAAATCTGTTGTTGAATTGCCGCTAGATACTGAGTATTACAAACGGAGACTTCACAGTTACCTTGTTTCCGAACCAAAATCGTCGTTAAGTTAACGGAAGAAAATCGAATTAAAGAGGAACAAATTAGTGGAAAAAAGTTATCTTCCCATCAAAA